TATATATATATATATATATATATATGAAATGGGTTATATATCTATCAAATTTGAATATTGAAGTCATCATTTCATTCAATCAAGCAGAAACTGTTTCATGCTTTAACACAAATAATAAAGGAATATAAATTATTTTCCAATTTAGTTATATTGTGGCTCATTTATTGACACATAAATAGACTATAGATGGAAATGATTGAAGATGGTATGAAATTTTTACTTGAATTTTCAGTTTTAATGAATTCTATCTCTGATATTGATGTAGCTTATCCCATAAATATTGATACCTAAAACTATATATATATAAATATATATAAATAAAAACAAAAATTATTTACGAATTTAAATGTTTTCAGAATTCATTCTGATCAATCAAAATTTGAAAAAAAAAATATATAAAATTAAATATAATGAAGAAATACGCTAGATATTTCTGAAATTTATAAAATAGAATATTTATATTTCATTTAAATATTCATGGAGATTGATTGGACAAATGTTTCGTGGTAATTACTTGTTGATCATACAAATATAATAATGATCGTCTATATTGAAAACTGGCTTAAAAAATGGTCTTTTATTAATAAAAAGATGTCTTATCTCAATAATATCAAATATGAACATGGAAACAATATCTCTCTGTGTGTAAGATGAAAACGATAACATTATATAAATACATATATGGAACAATCTATTTCTTTTTAATAAAAAAATTTTTTCAAACCAACATAAAATGGTTGAATGTTTCTGGAAAGAAACAAGATTCTCGAAAAAAGAATTAAAATTTGAATCTTTATATAAAATTATCTACAGAAAAAAAAAAATATTATAAGATCACATGATAAATTTTATAAAAAAAAAATTTAAGGATAGAGATTTTTTTGTCATATTCAATGAAAAGAAAATGAGGAAAAATGAATTTGTCAAGTAACATATTACACACACCATACCCTATATATATATATATATATTTATATATATATATATATATATATATATATATATATATATAATTACATATATATATATATATATATATATAATAAAATTAAGCCATAAAAAATCCTGAAAATATAGTATTGGAACTCATAAACAAAAGATAATTTTATCCTTCAAAATATTTTTAACGAAATAATAAAATTTTTTTTTAAAATCATTGAAATAAATATTTTTTTTTCAGTCTCGGTAAAAAGTTACTGAAATCAATGCCCGAATTTAATTTGATAATTGACTTCCTAAACTTTTTGTTTTTTCACCTGTATACTAATTAATATAGGTTCAAAATTTAAACTTGACCATCTAAACTGATTTCAAATCCAAATGATAAAAAAAAATTTCAAAAATATTAAAATACCTAGTTATATAATATATATTTTAAAAATTGAAATCTTCAAAACTCTTTCTTAATTTCAATTCTGCCATCAATTTTGGTTTTTCTTTTTTTACAAAAATACTCAATAATTCAAAAAACTTCAAATGAAGATCAAGAATAATTTATTTGATTGGTACAAACCTTTTAGAAAAAATGTCTCAAGGATTAAATAAAACAAATTTTGGCTTTGTAAACATAAAAACTGGACTTTAGAAATTAATTGTTGGGCATCTACATGGTATAAAAAAAACTTTTTATCTCGATAGAAAATTAACTGATTAATGAGTTCGAATTCAATGCTTCTTGAAAAGTTCGACCTTTGTTAATCTTAACTGCTACAAAAAAATTGTCTGGTTAAAAAATTTCATTTTAACATCCTCGTTCGATATCAATGGGGGTCATGATCAATTTTTTCGGTATTGTGCCATATCTAAATTCTACGTTTAGCTTTCCACTTAATAATGATGGACAAAATGGAAATCATAATTATTAATTATACATTCTGTCTGTAATTATTATCAAAAAAATTAAAAAAAAAATTTTAAAATTTTTTGCATTAAAAAAATAAAAGATTTATAAAATTAACAAATTAATATTTCCCAAACCCTCAAAACATCTTTGAAAGGTAAAATAAAAATGTGTTTTATTTTTGCCAATCGAGAATAAAAAAAATAATTGATGATTTTCCTATAATTTACCTTTCTATCTGTCCAAATATGGTCAGGGGTAATTGTTTATGCTAGCACAGTGTAACAAGTGGGATTTTTTCTTCATTTTTTTTTTGAGCGAAATCATTATACAGAAATAATAATCAAAAATTTTAGTTAAAAAGACTATTACATGAATAAGAAATAAAAAAAAAAACATTGTTAAAAACCGTCACAAGTGAACTTTCATATAGATCAATTGACATAGGGCGTTAAATACTACATTGATTTCATGACAGGAAGACACTTATAATTTTTTTGTACCTAGACTCAATATATGATAACTTTGCGGAAATGATTTTTCATTAATCGTAAATAATTCCATCATTTTTTTGAACTTATTTTTGCCCATATTTTTATATAATTCAAGCCATTAGTTATGACCCATATAAATCCAGGTTTAATTAATCCCTTTATCCAAAAAAAATCAGCTTTTATTCTAAAAGGTACTGAACATAGAGTTAAATTTGTTATGAATTCCGTAGAAACACCGATTAAAAAAGTTTTTTTCTTTTTAATTTTTTTTATCATTTCACCATAATTATCTTTAAGCTATAGGATTCAAGGGGTTACTGAAATCAAACTGAGTATTAAATATGCAATTCAAAAACAAAACGACAAATTTGTTTGGAGTTCTTGATTGCTTCGGTTTGAGATGTCGCAGAGCCAACTTTCGAATTCCATGATCGAAACCATTTATTGAAGCATATGGTGTTTAAGTTTTTAAAAATTTAAACCATTTCTTCTCCTCCCAGCTATTGAGATTCAAAGCATGAATTGGATGGCAACTGGTCTGCTTAAAATTTTGCCATTTACCGCAAAAGAAATGGCATACTACCCGGGGTGAAATTATTTCCTCGTCAGTCATGTATTTTGGTTTAGATTGATCACATAAGCGTGTATCAACGCAACTTAACATAACTGACCGATTCAAGGAAAAAAAATTATGATAGCATTTATATGTCATTTTTGAAGATCTTAAATAGGAAAGCAAAATCCAAAAATTCCAAATTACAAAAACTTGGCAATTTTCACAATGAGATTATGAGAACTATAATCTAATAACTGCAATTAAATACTATAAATGAAAAAAAAAAATTCATCGTGGTTTTTTGGCGTATTCTCACATTTTAAAAATTGGATCTTGAAACAAATAAATTCATTCATTCAACATAACAGGAAAATTATATCATCTATATTTATATTTGAAGATGGTGAAAGAATTTGCTGATAATACGTTAAAAATATCAGAAAATTTTTCATCGAAAGATTCAGGGGGTTTCTTCTGAAACCCAACACTTAAAAATTTATATAGTATTTTGAGATTTTGAACAAACACACACACACATTTACACACACACACACACACACACACACACACAAAACACACACACACATTTTCTTATTTTTTTTTTTTAAAAAAGAAATCTTCTAAATCCTTCTTTCTATTATTTGTGTAAATTTATCTCTCAATTATATGCAGAAATGTCCGTTGAAGATCTTTTCTTGTGGGAACGAGCATCATTTTTAAATAATTAGTTGGACTTTGGCAAGTACGGGAAGGGCATATTTCTCACTGGTACCAGGAGTCGGATTCTGAGTCGAGGTAAAACCAGAATGTCAAAAGATGTTAGATGTAGTCAAGATTGGCGCCACACAATCTTCATGCTCTTATTTCTTGTTTCGGACAACAGGATGAAAATGAAAGTGAACGCGAAGAAAAATCGAAAAATCACAGGAATAGCCAGTGTTCTTTTAGAAGTTTTTTTTAGATGTTAAGAAAAGAAGAAAGATAGAAAGAAAAGGCAATAACGTGAAAGAATCTTTTAAGTCTTCTTCACAGAAATAGAAATCCTTGTCAATTTTAATCTTTTTATTTGTATCCGCTTACTTTAAATAATGACCTGCATTCATATTAACGATTGCTATCGCAATATTTTGTTAAAATTGTTTATCACAAATATTTAACGAAGCAATGGAGACATTTCCATGGATATTTTATAGCTGTGAAACTCGCCATGAGTTTATTGGATCATTAAATTAAGAATTACGATTCACTAGAAAATTCAAATGGGAAAACCGTGAAATTTTCACGTGTATTGCTGGTTATTATTATTGTTATTATTTCATTATTATAAAATAGTATTATATTTACTGCTAATCTTTCAGCGGTTTTTTCTTCTGTTGCTTTTTATCTGAATTCTCAGATCGCCATTTCACGCTTGTTAAATTGGATTAGAAGAGAATTTTTTCTTTCCGACTCTCGCTTTTAATTTAACGGGCAATTAGAATGTCATGATAACAGAAATTAAATAAAAGGAAAATTAACAAAAATATATATATAAAGTGGAAAACTATGATTAAAACGAAACTTTTAAGTAAAAATAAAAATAAGTTTTTGAACTTATTTTTATTTTCGATAAAAAATAAACATGACTGGAAAAAGTGAATAAAATAAAGAAACTGAAGGCTTAATCGACAATAAAAAAAGGAATTTTTCTTTTCTTTTTTTAATGGTAGAGTTTAAACAAATATAAAAATATTAAAATCATAGAAAAAAAAAGATGGAAGAAGGGAGTGTCTTTAAAAATAAATTACAGGCGCTGATGAAAGCTACTGAAGAAGTAACAACTCACTCGTCGCAGTAAAAAGAAAAAATGATGTAGTATTGAAAATATGCAGAGAAATGCCCCCAAATGTAATGACATGGGATAAGAATATAAAAGATAAAATCTTAAACGTGACATCTCAATCATCTGATAACAGTCTTGAGGATTTTGAATCAGAGCTAAATGAGTTTTAAGTTTCAAACTAAATTTATAATTTGCATATAAAGTTAAGCTTTGTTGACAGATCCGCCATTCACACTTATTAATAAATGTTAAATCAGAGATTATTTTTACAGGTACCTATATATCGTGATGATTAATCTATCTATCTATCTATCTATCTATCTATCTATCTATCTGTCTATCTATCTATCTATCTATCTATCTATCTATCCCTGGTCAGGTATATATTTCTACTTATCTTGTTTTTTTTGTTTGTTTGTTTGTTCGTTTGTTTGTTTCTTTGTTTGTTTCTTTGTTTGTTTCTTTCTTTCTATTTCAGTCTGGTTAAATATGCCTTTCTACTCTTCTCGTTTTCTTTCTTTCTTTCTTTCTTTCTTTCTTTCTTTCTTTCTTTCTTTCTTTCTGTTGAAGCTTGAATAAGCATGGAATAATAATAATACAACACAAAATGTACGTAACAAAATGTATTGAAACAATGAAAAAAAGTACACAATATTTACAGGTAGTTTTGGTATATTCTTGGGAAGACTGTTCCTGCAGAATGGGTTGACTAAGTCGCAGTCGGCCAGAGTCTCTGGATTCGATCTCTTAATCTTCCCTCGTCTTCCGGTACCAACCCATATTTATATGGTCGGTACTCCACTTATGTAAATTAGGTGTATCATACACAACACTTTCTCAGTTTGTTCACATATCTTTCTCTACTCATCTCGTTTTCTATCTATCTATCTATCTATCTATCTATCTATCTATCTATCTATCTATCTATCTATCTATCAAGATCCGAGGGATCTTAATAAAATTTGTAGTGTTTAGAAAATAAACAACACGTCGACTCAAATGTAGTCAAATAACGTTTAAAGTGATAAAAATTGTCTGATTAATATATAAAAGCCCATTACTTCTCAAGAAATTGCTTTGTTTACGTTTTTGTTTACCTTCGTAGCCGAGTCGATCTAAAGCACGACAGGTCTAACGGTGGTTTCTCGTGGAAAGTGGGGCGCAGATTCGCATACTGCTTGAGGGCGTATATCTATCTATCTATCTATCTATCTATCTATCTATCTATCTATCTATCTATCCGTATCTTTTTATATACTTGTATAGAATAATGTAGCATCAGTAGCACCAGGAGACTGACCTGACACGTAGGGTGCCATGACCAAGGCAAACTTTCAAATTAAAGGAGATCGGCTGTGGTTTGACTTGGAGAGGGATGTTCTCTGCCAGGTCTACTTGTCAAAGACCCGCTACGCATGAATGAATAACTCTCCAGCTTTCAACTGAGATATGTGAACGAAACTCTTCAGGTACTCAGCGACTCTTCGACCACACCCAGTCATGGGACTGATGATGATGATGTTAATGATGGGGATAGATAAACAAATGCAAACATATTGGGGTCTCTAAAAGTTCATGCTGCTTTTATCGTTAAATACTATTAAAATAATTTTATTAGTTTTCATTGATTTCATTCAAAAGGATCGCTTTTCAGTATTGTATAAAAATAAATTCTGACGGCGTGCAATTTTGTGACAGTGAGTACATTTAAAAAAAAAAAATTACCAAAATCCTTTATTGATTTTAAGACTGAAGATAGAAAAAGATGCGTCTATATTTTAAGGCAGGTAAAAATGTTATTCAAATGCAAAAAAAGAAAAAAAAAAAAAAAAAAGAAAAAAAGTCAAAACAGTTTTATGCAGTTAAGATAAAATATACTGCAGATATTTGAACATCAAGAGTCGTTTGCAATGTTTTCTTATATTCTAAAATCGTTCAGTTAATTTAAAGGTTAAAAGTAACTAAATCATGACATTATTTGGAAATAGTCAAAGTTATACGACACAAAAGGTAGTCACCAAACATAAAATATCCAAGTGTAGCGTTGTAAATATTTTGCTTTGTTTTGTTTTGCGGCATATCAACCGCAATGGGTTATTTAATGCCAACAAGATTTTATTGCTGATAATTTTTTTTTAATTTTTTCAAAAATGTATTGCTGGTAATATTTTTTTTCGAAAAATGTATTGCTGGTATTAAAACCTATTTTCACATAGTGTTTTAACCCAAGTTTGTGGGTTAACTATTTGCCCATAGCTGGGACCCTAACAGGTGCTACCACCCCGAGTCAGGGTGGACATGGGGACGCCAGCAATTAAGGGATGGTTCCACACTCCACAAAACCTCCTGATCAGGGGTTTTGCTGCCGGGTGTAGTTTATCGTCATACCCAGAACGCCTCAGTCGGGGGTGGGGTGTCTTACTCCTCTGCAGAGTTGGAGTCGGCGTATTCTGGAGTCCCGACCGATATTGGTTATGTTAGTCGCTTTGATGTGTGCTTTCCACATGACTGAAACGAAAGTAACAAGTGGGCTTATATTTCTGTGTGCAGGTCGTTAATGAATCGTAGCCAAATGATATTGTTTTGTGATAGGCGATGTAATATGCATATTTTACATGTTTAATGCGTTATTTGATACTTTTTACATACGAGAGTAGATAATTAAGCCCGTAGACTGACATGTAGTTACTAACTGCGTATTGATTTGAAACATTCATTGTATAATATTGAATAATTTTTTGAAAGGATTTTTTAACCGATTTTATTTTTGATTACAGTGAACATTATTTTTAGTGGGTACGCCTGTTGGAGTTGTTACGCTCGTTTTATTTATTTTATTAAACAGTGAAATAGGTAACAAACAGCTTTAATTGAGAAGTCTTAAAAAAGAAATATTCTGCCTCCGAGAGGAATCGAATCCGCATCCCATTTGGCTTAAGAAGTGGTTTCCCTGAGGTAAAAAAGGGACGCAGGTTCGATTCCTCTCGGAAGCAGAATATTTATTTAGGCTGATTGTTATTAATTTCACTGTTTAATAAAATAATAATAATAAAAAAAAAACAGGAATAACAACTCAAATATGTGCACCCATTAAAAATAATGTTTATAGTAATAATAAATTAATAATAGATGAATGACAAAAATTATTTTTTTTATAAATAACAGCTAATATATATTTATTTTATTATCGACGTGAGAGAAGTAATTCCATTAACCTAATTAGGCTGTGGAATTACAAATAGTTTTTCCGGTAATATTAATGTTTCCTTTATAAGGAAATATTCGGCATTCATTGGCCGAGTAACTAGTGCTATTGCCGGTTGAAAGTTATAAAATCTTTCTTTTAAAAGATTTTTCGGGAAAATAGTTTTTTTCCAAGTCCAGTAGTTGTTATAGTTCTTTCCGGTAATTATGGGAGTTTCCTTCCGAACGTTTTGTTTGAAGTAGTGTTGATTATCAATATCTGGATTATACTGATTATATCATTATTTTCTCTTCATGTTAGATGTGCTATCCATTTTAGTTGTTGCTGCAGTTGAAAGTCTACAAGTAATGTGGTTTCTGTTATTTGGCACAGTTCCTTGTTTATGATTGTATAGCGCCAGTGCACGAAGTTCTAAGAAGGATGGACTTCGCTAAAACTTAGAGGATTCAATCGCTCGAAGTCATTTTTAAACACTGATATGTGAAAACGTTTGTATATAGCTGATAGCTTAGATATTTCTGAATGAATTGGATACCATGAATGGCATTGTCAGTCACTTTCTTTCGGGTTTCAGTGCCTATATGTAGTAAAATAATTTATAACGCAAAAAATAGATGTGCGTTTAGTGTAGGGATTACACGGCGGAAAGTGAGTTTGGCATGCCAACCGTGTGTGTTGCGTTTGGTTTTGCACAAATACACATCGGAAAGGCCTACATTCCATATCGTCACAAATGGGCAGGCTGGACTCTAGCTTTGATTAACAACCCGTCTAGGAGAAGGAAAATTTCAAAACCGGTTGAGAGTAGGATTGGCAAGTTCCCCTCACCCCAGGAGAACATTCTTGCTACGGAAATTACCTCAGCTATCTAAGCCAGGGAGTCGACAGAGTAATTAGTTGACTGATGATAAATCTAATATTAAAATCATTAACAATATATTTAAATTTGTAATGTTTTTGTATTAAATTCATTCATAATACATTTGCAATGTTTATATTAAAATAATCAACAGTGCATTTCCATATTTTTATATTAAAAATATTAAAATTTGCAATGTTTTTATATTAAAAGTCATCAGCGATATTTATAAATTTGCAATGGTTTTTTATATTAGAAATCCATAATACATTTATATTTGCAATGGTTTTGTTATGCTGAAATCATTAATGAATCATTTGCATTTGTGATGTTATTCATAGTAGAAATAATTAAAAGTGCATTTGTATTGTTTCGTTTTATTAAAAATCATTGACGCTATATTTGTAGTGTTTTTTATATTAGAAATTATTAAAATACATTTAAAATAATTTTTTATATTAAAAATTATTAACAGGCGTTTTCATATTGAAAATCATTAACAATACATTTCTATTGTTTTTTCTTTTATTAAAAATTATTAATAATACATTTACAGTGTCTTTGATATTAAAAATTATTAACAATACTTTTTAAATAATTGTTTTACATTAAAAATCATCTATATAATACTAAAAGTCTGTGACTGCGTGCATGCTTGTGTGCGTGTGTAGTGCGTCCATCCGGCGCACAAGGATCTACGAGTTGTTTATACAGTAAGTATTTTTATTTTAATTTTCTTCAAACAGACAATTCTTTTAATTAAAATATTTGTAAGTTAAAGACAGACACAAAGAGATCCCGCTTTGCTGATTCGTCCAGTTGTTTCTAGAGTAGTTATTTATATTTCAGCTTTCATCAAACAAACAATATTTTAAATATTTAAAAAATATTTTTAAGTTAATCTGATTTAAAAAATATTTTAAGAGAATAAGATTTAAAAATACGAGTTGTTTATAGAGTAAGTATTTTTATTTTAACTTTCTTCAAACAGACAATTTTTTAATTAAAATATTTTAAAGTTAAAGACAAGCGTAAAGAGATCCTGCTTTGCTGTTTCGTCCAGTTGTTTGTAGAGTAATTATTTATATTTCAGCTTCTTTTAAACATACGATATTTTAAATATTTAAAAAATAATTTTTGGCATATTAAAAAATCTTTTCAAGTGAATATGATTTTAAACTATTTTTTGTCATATTAAAATTTTTTTTAAAAGTTATTCTGATTTAAAGTTTAAGTTTATCCCGGAAGTTCTATTCCTACTAAATGCTGTAAACAACCAGTAAAAAGTTAAACATGGATTTGTAAACCAGACCAACGATGACGAATTGAAACATTTAACGGAATCATAATAACTTTCGTTTCAATGGAATGTTGACATTAACTTCAATGTTTTATAAGCTGAACTGCCAGTGACTCAACGGGTAGTCTAGTTAATAATATAATTACAGTGGTAATCGTACCAGAATCTATATGTTATAAAAAGGTTAACTTGTCTAGGTAGCTCATAAACTGAATTTAAATATGTGATTTATCAAAAATGCTACAATTTCGAAATAAATTCAATGTAGAAATTGATAATAGACATCATGCCAAAAAAATTCCTTTGTTTTACGTGCTACGATAATCAAAGATTACCTAATTAAATTTTTTTTCGTTTTTGATAAGATTTCAGTTGGAACCATCAACAAAGCAGATGATTGATGAATAACCATCTTATGATCAGAAAAAGGGTTATCTTTTACCACACTTCTTAACATGATAGCAACTCCCGACTTGTTATCTTTTATCTTATCTTGTAAGAACGAAAAACGTTTGTTTGATGCACGTTATAAGATTAGGTTGCGTCTATCCTGTTAACACATGACACAGTGTTATAAAAATGATTCATGATTAAACGATAGCACAAAATCTTAAATCTATATATTTCTGTATATATATATATATATATATATATATATATATATATATATATATATATATATATATATATATTTATCCAGCAATCCTTCTTTCATGTACGTTTCATTGAATATGACAGATAAGGTTCTTTGATTTAAAAATTTTACAATTTCTCATATGATCTTATAATTTTTTGGCCATGTTCATACTTGTTATTATCGAGTGTTTATGTTTGTTTTTATTAATGAGGCTTCCATTAATTTTAGCCTTTTTTTTTTTTTACATGTAGACGATGCT